CCCCCCCCACACACATCTCTTGTCATGAACGTATAGGACAGCCTCGCAATTCAATGATTGACCACTTCCTTCTTCGACCACTGCCATTTTCTGTGTGGTATTGAGTCTTGTGGGCTGTAGGTTAAATGGCTGCTAACCGACTTGCCCATCCTTTTTGTTTTTGGCCAGGAGTCCGGGGATCTCGTACACCATAGCTGCCTTACCCACTTTGGGTTCCGAAGGGTCTGGGCGATTGTTTTGCATGATTGGCAGGACAACTTGGATTGTGCGATTGCTGAGCGGGGCTTTGGAACTTGAGCTTTCTCAAGCGACCGCAACGGGCCATGCAAAACAGAATGCTACTGCAGCCCATACATGTCCTAATCTATGCTGTCTGCACACGGAGATGCTGTTATTTGTCACGTAATCCTGTCATCCCGAAGTTCCACCTACAAGAACACATGAATCCTTACGAGTGGACCGCGCTCCAAACTAGAGAAAGCATCCGCTTCAGCTCAGCGCAACCTTGGCAGTCCACTCAATCCCCGCAGTCCTTCGGCTTGCTTCCGGGGTTCAGGCTTTAGGCTTTTCTATTTCACCACCCTCCTCCCCTCCGTACGTTTAGAGTTAGGAGGGGGTTGACGAAGGTTCAGGGTGCATAGCTTTGGCGATCGGTAGTTGGCGGCCTGCTGAAGGTGTGTAGACTTCGAAAGTGAGGCTAGCGCTGGGGCTTCTCATGTACCCTATATAAGCCCTGTACCCCTGACCAAATTAACCCGGCAAACCCACAAACGAAGTCCCCCCAGTCTCGCGAGACAAATCCAGGTCTGAAAATCTACAGTATAATAACATCACGTTCTAGTCGTGTATATCACCGTATACCCAATAATTGGTAACAGCATGCCCTTGCAATCCTCTGTATAAAAATGTGTATTAAGACACCGCAGAAGCCCATGAAATCTGATACTCAGGCTACGGCTAGGGGCTTTGGCGCCAGCTCTGGCCACGGGCGCTTGGGCCATCAAAGGCTGCGTCCACGAGAGAGAGACAGAGAGAGAGAGAG